ATCCATACGCGTCCGAGCCACCCATGGGTGGCTCGGCCAAGAGCCGAGCCACCCATAGGTGGCTCGGCCCAGTGCCGGCCACCTATGGGTGGCCGACAATTTTCTGTGCGCGGGCACAGTCTTGAGAGCCTATAAATAGGCCTAGAGATGTTCATTTTCGGAGGTCGGAATTTCAAGAGCCGAAACTCTGCCGGATTGAAGAGTGATCTCAGAGCTTTGAAGACTTGAAGACTTGCACATACAGATCTGATCCTCGGCGAGCATCCACGTCAGAAAAGGCAGGATTTCGAGAGGAGGCAAAGAACAGATCTGAGATCTACACGATATCACACTCCGGATCTAAGCTTGGTCTTAGATCCCGAGATCTGGACGATTGTTTCCTTGGTGAATCAATACTCCCCGGCTATTATTCCCTTCGTGGAATAATACCCGTATAATTGTGTAGATCCAACCGGATCTAGATCGCGCGGTGGTCCACGGATTAACCCCGGCGCCGGCAAAGAACCCACCAAAGCGAGCGACCGCAAAACAGGAGCTCGCGATTTGTTCACAAGAGGAAAGTTGTAATTTTTACTTTTTTTTTTCTTTGATTTAGTTGTAACCGGATCTATAAAAGACCGGATCTTTGTAATCCAAGATGACAATTATTTCAATGAAAAAGAAAACAGTTTTCCCCGCGAACACATCTTTGCTGTTGTTTGATATGTTTGGTGTCTGACTTGATATTGAGATGATGCATGGTTACTTGAGGATCAAGGCGGGGCATATCCTCGTAATTCTAAGCTAAGACATCAATATATTCCTGGATAAGAGATATAAGGTCTTCCTTCTTATGCGGAGGTAAGTTATCGCTTATAAATATGGGTTTGGGGCTAACCTCGTCTCCCATGTTTATTTGGATGATCTTGTCCTCCGTAGGTGATCCATGTTGTTCAAACCGACCACTCCATTGAGCACTGATATGATGATCTCATGCTTTGTCGTAAAGTAGGATCTGTTCGTCCTCGTCGATTCTGGTGGGATCAACTGTAGCCATATTGATTGTGAGATCCTTGAGCAGATTTCCTATGCTAACATCTGAATCCCACATCAATGATGTTGATGATGAATCTCTGGAATGGGTTCTCTCGGATTCTTTGCCGAAATCATAATATAACTCTGATGAAGAGGAAACATAGCCCAACCATCTTTGAGTTTTGTTGTAGTAATTGTCAGACTTTCCTTCAGGCACGTAGGCAAGTTGGACAAGTGTTTTTCACTCTTTGTCATAATTTAAACCCTTCTTGTGGGAAAAATCATAACCCATGTTCTCCATCATACACTTTGCTACTTGATCGTAGTATAAGAACTGAGGGACGGGTTCGTCGCCTTCCGACTCGTCCCACAATGTACACATAGGTTAATCGTTTAGGCAAGCTTAATCCTATTGGCAAGCTCAGTTCGTGCGGGTTAACCTCCTATAGGCGAGCTCGACTCTTGTGGGTGAGTCAAACGTTCAGACGAGCTTGACTCGTGCGGGCGAGTCAAGCCA